ATTTCATTTCAATTGTTTTTGAACATAGGCGCTACGCGCAATACACCGAAGGCATAGAAACTGAAGCAAAAACCAAACAACTTGAACAACTAATAATTGAAGAATAACAGTTCTAGAACTAAAAATCGTACTAATACATGTATACACCAAAATTTTGCTATATCGAGAAAGAGCCTGAAATAGCAGTTCTAGAACTAAAAATCGTACTAACACATGTATAGGTTAAATTTTTGATATATCAACGAAGATCATAAAATAACACTTCTAGAACTAAAAATCGTACTAACACATGTATACACCAAAATTTTACTATATTGACAAAGAGCCTGAAATAACAGTTCGTGAGCTAAAAATCGTACGAACACATGTATACACCAAAATTTTGCTATATTGGCAAAGATCATGAAATAACAGTTCGAGAGCTAAAAATCGTACTAACACATGTATACGTCAAATTTTTGCTATATTGACAAAGATCATGGAATAACAGTTCTAGAGCTAAAAATCGTACTAACACATGTATACACCAAAATTTTGCTATATTGACAAAGATCATGGAATAACAGTTCGAGAACTAAAAATGGTACTAACACATGTATACAATAAAATTTTGATATATTGACAAAGATCATGAAATAACAGTTCGAGAACTAAAAATCGTAATAACACATGTATACACTAAAATTTTGATATATTGACATAGATCATAAAATAACAGTTCGAGAACTAAAAATGGTACTAACACATGTATACGCTAAAATATTGCTATATTGACGAAGAGCCTGAAATAACAATTCTAGAGCTAAAATCGTACTAACACATGTATACACCAATATTTTGCTATATCGACAAAGAGCCTGAATAAACGTTGTAGAACTAAAAATCTTACTAACACATATATACACCAAAATTTTGCTATATTGACAAAGAACCTGAAATATTGACAAAGGACCTGAAATAACAATCGACATAAATAAATAAATACATACATAAATAAATAAAAAAAATAAATAAATAAACGCAAAACTGAAATGTACAAATAATTAAATTAACATGAAAAAATATATATCTCATGAACAAATAACCAAACAAACAGACCCATAATATAAATAAATGAAAGTAAATGAATTAAATAAATACACATACATAAATAATAAAAGCAAAACTAAATGCAAGAAAGAATAATTAAATAAAGAAATAAATATCAACAAATAAACAAAACACACCTGATAAATAAATAAGCAATAAAAAAATAAATCAATACATAAATAAATACATAAATAAATACATAAATAAATAAATAAATAAATAAATAAATAAAAGCAAAAGTGAAATGTACAAATAATTAAATAGACATGAAAAAATATATATGAACAAATAACCAAACAAACAGACCCATAATATAAATAAATGAAAATAAATAAATTAAATAAATACACACGCAGAAATAATAAAAGCAAAACTAAATGAAAGAAAGAATAATTAAATAAATAAACAAAACACGTGATAAAAATAAACAAAAATAAATATGTACATACATAAATTATAAATAAAAATAAGCAAACTAAACATAATTAAATAAATAGAAGAACAGATAATTAAATAAATAAAGATGAACAAATAAAGAAACAAACATACGCAATCACGTGACATAGCGCGATATAGTCCAGCCCACATGATAATTGATAACTGTGAGCGTTATTTGTCGACACTTGACAACAGACAACATTAAAATAAAACCCCGTTACACGATACCATAACACCTTGACTAAAGTCTTCGGTGTAAAAATTTGCAATAAAAAAATTTAAAAAGCGGTTTAAACCGCGGCAATTCACTTCGTTCAAGAATATCAGTAAAACAGAAGTTTATAAAAATTCATTTCATATTGTCGACCCCCAAATTTTATCACCCAAGCATAGTGACGGTAGCAAAAGGAGCTTAATTTGCGCATAAGAAGAACTAGTTGTTGTGAAGGTCCCGAGAAAAACGTGATAGACATCTGGCTTCAAAAGTTGATTTGAATTTTTAGATTTTCCAAATGAACCTTTTTCACCTTTCCATGCATTTGTTTCAAATCGGGTTAATTTTATCGAAAGGTGTCAATTATTAATGTTCTTGAAATTCATTTTAAGGCCATAATTTTTCTTTGACGGTTTCAAATATAAGTCATTTTTTGGTTCCCCTGCATTCAGTGACTTCTGAGTCAGATTTTTTCAGTCTCCCGTTTCGCTGCTTTCAGACCTTTTTCAATTCAGCATAGGTTTCCATCAGCGTTGTGAATTTTGTCTTCCGCAAAATTTCTGAAAGTTTCTATCATAGGTGTCCCATTTTGACGACACATACAGCTCAAATGAATTGAAGAGATGCAAAGTGTGTCCTGCTCCGCGTTACATCCAGAAGACCCCGGTCGAGCTAAGACGCACGCCACGCTGGAAATACTGAACAGAAAAACCCACTTCAACGGTTGTGGCGGAAAAACTTGAAGATATTGTAATTTACCTAATTGTCTTGACTGATTTTATTAGAAGTTTCATATTATAATCAAAAACTAAGGCAACCATTTATACTTTTAAACTTCAACGTTTCTTTCACATTATGCCAAGCATAAAAGGCCGACAAAAAGCAAACTCAAAACTTCAAGACGGAAGCAACAACTGTAGGATGAAAGCACCACGACGCTCACTAAACGGCAAAAAGCTCTTCGAACGATGTTACAATTAAAGAAGGTTGAAAGATTTTTTTGAAAGTATTTGGTTTCATGTTTAAATTAATTAAAAACTTTCAAAAAATTCTAGCGCGGTTGATTTTGGGCATTCAATACCGGACAAATTAACGGACAAAAAATAGATAAAAAGGCCGACAGAATCAGAATCAAAGCCGACGGTCAAAAAGCTGAAACTTAGCCGAAAATTTTCGCCAAAAACATCACATTAAACGCCCACACAGGATCCAAGATAGCTATATAAATGGTGTATGCAAAATGGACTACAATTTTGAAAACTAAACCGAGAGCTTATGTCGACAATCATGAAGACGAGAATCATCGCTGAAAATTAATATCGATACTCTATATCTGTACCAACGATGGTTTTGCAATCTATATATAGCATGTGCCAGAAGTAAGTAGTACTCAGTAATTGAATTTCGTGAAATTGAGCATGTCAGCAGCACATCAGTATAGTCAGCAGCAAGATTTTATTGTTTTTGTTAAGCTAGTCCTAAAAAAATTTAGACCGACTTGATAACGCTAGCTCGTCAATAGCACTAAGAACCATTGCGATATCTTTTCAAGCTTGAAGTTCAGAGTTAATTCCAAAACCTAAAAAGATGTCCAAAAAAATCTATAATTCCCGTCATTGCACTATGTGCAACAAAACAAAAAATGGAGAACACATTGTTGATGTTTTTCTCAGAAAAATCATGATAACAACCGTCTTTGCTACTTTAACAGCAACCGGATATTTTTGTTTCTTTTGTTTCTCTGAGTTCTTTGGTTTTCTAAGGGTTTTATAACTGACAAAAGAATTGCCATTTTTTGAGAATTATCGGAAAATTTCGTTTCGACCGCTTTTATTTCTTGTTAACTTGTGAACATACAGCTTGTTGTTTCGTTTAAATAATTAGTGCCATAATTTGTTCAAAATACGTCGAAATATTTTGGCAAAATTTATCTTCATGTCGTATGAGGTCAAAATATTTTTCTGCAAATTGAAAAAAGCAAATAATTTTTTTGATTTGAGTTTCGAAAAAGCGAAGTTGGCGTTAGCTTTAAAATCTCTACAAAAAATTGAGCTCGGAACCTTAAAATATAAGCAAAACAAGAGTTCCTTAAGACGCCAATCTCGTATGATTCACTAGTTTCTAACCAAAACACTGGCTTGTACTTTACTAGGTAATTATTGCATGTTAGTTGACTCAATTATTAATACTTATAATTGAGGCAGTTTTTATTCAAGTTAATTTTGGGTGATTAAAATATTCGTTGTATGCGGAAAAAGTCCATAACCACTCTAGAAATCATCTCCTTGGTTTTAAATATAAAAAGATTTATTCAACTTCGATTATTTGAGGGCTTGAAAATTCGCAATTTGGCCATGCTCTGGACTAATTTTTGCGCGCAGTGAAGATTTTGTTTAAGATGCTGAAACTGAAAGCATATCGCAATTTATTCATGCTTGGTAAACTATCTCGCACTACAAAGTCGTTCCAATTTTAATTAAGCAAGCAAATCGATCGTAGTACTTGCGTACTATTCAATTTTCCACACTTGATGTTTGACATTGTCCAAATTTATGGCTTTTTTACCAAAAATTATTCGATAACATTTTTAGAGGCTGTTTGAATTTTCGAGTCTTCACTCTGATATACCAGCGTTACTCGAGTTTCGAGGAAATGCGGAATATTAATGAGTGGCGTGGTTTTTAGATAATTAATTTTCTAACTTTCAAATGAGCATTTTAGATAGAATTTTTTACATTATCTGATATTGTTGCATGGAGCTCAAATCTAAAATTGTTTCACTGCTAATCAACTTTCAAATTAAATCCTTCAAATTAAACTGAGACAGCAATTTGCTCTAACTAATACGTTACTACGCGCAAAAACTTTCAATTGGTACTTAACATAGCTTGTGAGGTAATAAATTTAATTACTAAAAATATATTTTTTAAGGTTTTGTACTAAAAAGCTTGTGATCGACGATAGAGGGCAGTTAGATCATTCAGGGCTTTGCTGTGATATACGAGAAGTCTTGTTTTGGTTAATTGTCAAAATCGAAAATGAATATCGACCACTTACTTTCTTTTCAGTCAACCAGCCAGAAGCCTAATTCGGAGCTTGGTTATTTAAGCTGAACTATGTTATGGCTAACTTAGAAGAGCAGGCCTAGCAACAAAAAGCGCACGGTTTATTTCGAATCAGCACTCATAAGATTATTAGATAATCATCACCTCGGCTGCGCCAGAAAGTGACAAACTTATGCTCCTCCTCTAAAAACAACTCAGGGGATTTTGAATTCAATCAGAGAAAAAAGATAAAACGAATGATATAATAAAGCACAGCACTCCCTTTGTCCTATTGTCATCAAAAACTTCAGCTGAAATAACTTAAGCGCAACGCAGCATTTCAAATATAATCGATTCTCAAAACGGCGCGCTTTATACATGACGACGAAACAAAATAAGGAGTAGAGGCGACTAAAGGCTAACACATTACACCGAAACAAAGGAGAGTTCATATTTAAGATTAAACACAATTTGTAATTGGTTTCGACTCTTGTGAATTTCGAGTTGAAAGGTCGGAGTTTTCAATTTCAGCATTTCCGTTAGCTGATAAATCTTGGCTTAAGCTCCCATTGGTTTGCACGGTTGTTAGTTTTTCCGGAGCCTTATCATTCTTATGTAAGGCTTCCATATTTTCGTCATTGTTATTTCGGATGCCTTGTTTTCCTGGTGGGCTAATGTTGTCACAAGGTTCCAGAGAGCCATTGCCAACTAATTGCTTTTCACTAGAAAGTTTATCTTTATCATGTTTGGAAGTTTTAATTCGCTCATTCGATGAAGTTTTTGCTCGTTTCGAAACTGGTCCATTGTCAGCTCGTGAATTTCGAGAACTCATTTCTGCAGCTGGATTCGAACTGTTGGAACTGTTTCTAGAATTTTCCGTAGGAGTCAGTTTCCCGTTAGCTTTAGCCCCTGGAACTCCGGCAGAATTTGTATCAATGCTGATACTGGAAACTGAATTTTTGGATGCTGAATGTTTGGATCCAGATGAACTTTTGGACTTGGGCGTGGCTTTGGATCTGGATCCTCCGGATGCCGAGGAAGAAGATGCCCTGTTGTGGTTGTATTCGAGACTGGCCAGCAGTTCTGATGATGCCTTTCCTTTGGTGCGCAGCGACTGGTACAACTGCATGAGGGTGCCCTGCAACGCAGTCAAGTCCGATTCCAATTCTCCTGTCACGTCCGCACACACTAAAGTTTTTCAGGTTTCAAAAGACGATGAATATGAGAGCTTAGGGCTGCGCAAAAAACTCATGAAACAGGCTATGTAAAGTAGCAAAGACAAAAATTTCTGGTCTACGTTGCGAAATCAGTTCTTTCCGCAAGAAACTTTTCATGAAGCTTTGATACAATAATCTATTTGAATTTGGGGAAAAAATTTCTTCGGGTGTTTCGTTACTTATCATTGCATAGCAAAACCAAAATACAATCCTTTCACGAAATCTTAAGACAAATGGTCATCAAATTAAACAAAATTTTATCTGCAACAGACTTGTGCATATGAGTACGCGCCAGACTTGTACATATGAGTACATCCATATAGCTGGTCCATAGCTTATATAAAACTACATAAAATTCATTCTTTTTTGTGTCTTTGGAGTTGTCAATTTTTGAGAAAAAGTATCAACAACGCTGTTTTAAGTTTTATAATTACCAAATTTGATGCATTGTTTTATACAAAATTATAAACATTCAGAGCGTAATCGCTTATAGAGAAACTTGTTCAGCTCAAAGAAATTAGGACTATGGATGTGAGCATTTTCGTACCCTGCATGTCGCGGGTGACTTCGAGAAATGATGCTTGGACTTCATCCGCCTGTGCCTTGATATGGGACAGTCTGCTCTCCGACACCTGATCTCCCAACTCACAGTTCTCGTTGGCCAGCAGACGACACTTGGCCATCGCTTTCTTCTCATCCACTGTACTCCTGCAACAAACATCACACTCTAACGACTAGTTCTTCATTTCTATTGTAAATCAGAGCAACTGAATGCACAGCCTCAAGCTAACAAGTAGAAGCTGAAATTACTGCATATAATAGAAAAAAATCACCAGTTGCTATGCGTTTGGCACATATGACTCTGATAGCAGCAATCATTGCAAATACTTATTTTCTTCGAGTTTTTGATATTTTATCTTAAAATATCAGCTGCAGTGGACGGAATCAAAAAAAGACTTGAATATTCAGGTAAACAAAAAAAAGTAAGGTTTAAAAAATATTTAATCTTAATATATAAAAAATAAAGATTTTTAAAAAAGATACAAAAAAGATATGAACAAAACATAGTTCAATTTCGGCCACTTTTTTCAACGCCAAGAACATTCATTAAAAAATCAGAATCTTGATCTCGGCTGGAAGGGTTTTCAAATGGGGCCTAGGAAATGATACAAGCAAATTAGACAATCCTATAAAAACTGAATTTCACACAAACATCAAAGAATCGAGCAACCGAGATGAAGCAGATCTTCGCTGCACTTGCGATACATCAGAAATATGACAAGACAAAAGAGCAGACAAAAAATGTCGAGAAAAGCTAGATCTACCAAAATTTTCATATCATTGTCTCCATTTGTCTTGAATAACAATCACTTGAAAAAAAACATACCGACACCCATTAGAAAAATTTTTAAACATTTCTATTCAAATAGAAACTAAATTACTTTACAATACTCACGCACATAGGAAATTTGTTTCGCTCATCCAACGGCGAAATATAATGCCACTAAACCAATTAGGTATAAACCGAAACATTTTGTAGCCGAGTAAACAAAAAAGAGAAAGACTGAGAAAAAAAAAACGAAATTATACCAACCCGCAGTTCTTTAATTTGAAATCAACATAAAAACAAAATATTGAAAAGAACAGGTTATTGAAATTCAGAAATGCCCACATTGATTGTTGTTTGACGAAATTGAAGATTTAAGAAAATTGTTCAGTAATTTTGTTGGACAAGTTGGTTACAATGGAAAACTAACGGGTAATAAATAACCCGCATATTAACAGATGGTGCAAAAAATTCAAAAAAATTATTTAATATCTTTTTTATTTAAAAATTTGCTAAATAAAACTGAAATTCCGCAAAAAATCTAGTGAATCATATACCCCAACCAGCGGAATTTTGGAAATGACTTTCAAAATTTAGGAGAAAGCTGAAACTTGAAAAAGAGTACCTGCTACAGGAACTAAGTCGACAAAAATAAACAAACGGACCATAATCCGAAAAAGCTGAATTTTTCAAGTTAAAAAAAACAGATCCCGGCCGGATTTGAGCCAAAAGCCTTTCTCGTCTCAAGCAGGTGTGTTACCTAAACGCCATAAGCGTTGGATAGCTGGTTGATTTTGAAATTATTATGAAGCAATTTAAAACAAGTTTAACTTTTCCGTGTCGCTAAATTATCGTAAGGGTAATAAAACGTCAAATCGAAATAGTATAGAACACTTTTGAAATGCATATAATATACAACTGAGACTTAATAACCTAATTTGCGGTTAGAAAATCAGTGTTTACTCAACCAAGAGTTAATCTTAGTCTCTTAACAATTTTCACGCAAGTTTTCATCTAAATTCAATTATTTTCTGTTCGTCTCATTTGTTTGTCGTCTATTTTCCTAACAGCTGATCAAAACAATTGTCAGAGAAACGCACTCACGTCTGTAAGAGCTTCTTAGCTCAACCCTTGTATTAAAAATTGCTATGAACCATTTTCACAATAAGGATTCAATCGTAAGCGCCACCACCAACCCGTCAGCCGAAGTAAGCTGCCATGCATTTAGCTCTGCCGTCAAATTCTCTATCCTACTCTCTCGTTCCTTCAGGTCCGATCTCAGCTTCTGCACCAGTAAATTCACATAGGGGTCTTTCAGAGTGCCTTTTGCGTCAGCTGGCGAATCACTGTCCGGCTGCTCTTTTACAGTCACGTCGCCCGATTTTATACTCTCCAATTCCGCCTGCAAAAATACTTCCCAAACTTGAGCCGATTCCATGTAAAATTTTACAATTTAAAGCCCATAATGTAGACGTATGCTCTGGAGACGTGAGAATACATAAAAGAAATATTAAAGATCTTACAACAGTAAATATTTTTTGCCCCCACGATTTAAAAAGCGATTCGCAACCAGATATAAGAACTCGCTTCTTGAATTTTGTATTCCATTCAATAAAATATAGCCACTAAAAATATCTCAAAAAACCAACAAAATTTTATCCAATAAAATCACAGATCATATTTTACAACTGCATTCAGAGCACTACAATTTCTTGTTGCGGCTAAATGAGAAAACTAATGAGTTTACCTTACGACCTAAGTCGCAAAAATCTAGCCGCAAAAGAAAACAATAGCTTTCCAGACATACTGCTAAGGAACAGGACTCTTAACCTACTCCTCTGTCATATCTGAAGGACAACATATTACCTGTGCTTGTTGAATAGCTTTATCCACAGACTGTTCGCATCGTTTGGCCTCATCCTCACCTAAATGAAACTTATCACAATGATTAAAACAAATCATTATAGTAGTGGTTGAGCAAGTTGCACAGAATGGCCCGACCACGCTCATTACGCAAACAAAAAAATCAAGATTTTCTAATTATCTCCTTTTTAGATTAGGAAGCAAAGGGCCCTTGAGGAGTTATAATTACGTTTTCCTAAACATTAAGTGTCAATGAATTCAAGGAGACCGAAAAATATGACCAATTTTTTGAAAATTTTTCTAACTCAATTTGATAAAAAAAGGATCAATAGTTAACTTAGTTCGCTGGGAAATCTAACACTGAAAAAATGCAAATGTATTTGATGTGAAATTAAAAATAAATACAGTCAGAATATTAACCATGAAAAATAAATTTGAATAGGGGTAATTTTTCAAAAAAAATCCCACTTATATGCAAATTAGATATCTGCTCATTTAGAAATTTATACGTGGATATAGTGCAGAAGACTGCAAAAGTTGAAATTTGGTTTTACGGATAATTGATTATGAGCGGAAATTTTTACACCGTTTACTCGACTTCTGGCTTCGACGTTTTATAATCAGTTTCACTTACGACAGGCTGTCTTTGAAGGCTTTAAATAAGCCACCTCTATAAAACATATCGGTAATTGAACCAAACCACTATTTTCCCTCGTGAAAGCTGCAAATAAATAACATATCAGTTTCAGGTTTTTTTTTAAATTTCCACGCAAGATTAGGTCCACGAACAAAAATGGGATGAGTTATATATCATATTGAAGCCCTTTCAGTCGTCATTTGAACATTTGAAAATGTCAGAAAAATTTATAAAATTTCTCATTGTCGAGAAAAAAAAACCTGCTCAAAATCTAAGATACTTGGTCTAATTCCATCAAATATAATTTAACTCCAGTTAAACTACTTTTTGAAATTTAGTCAACCGCCTTTTTGGAATAAAATTCTTTTTTATTTTTAAAAAAAATTAATTTATGAGGATATTTGTTGTCAAATATAGGTAAATTACTTCTACTGTGAAATTTTTAGTCTATAGTTCATATCCTCTTCTCACACCACGCACAAAATCGAGGCAAGCTATTCTTTGTTTTTTTATTACGGTCAATACGTGCACAGCAATCGGCTATCCTTGTTTGATTTTGACATTTACACTTTATTTGCCGGTAAAAACGTTAATCCGGGAGTTTTAATCTCCTGAGTGCCACACAACATGTTGGAGTTTGCCAAAAGGTCATATCAATTGTAAAACCATTCAAGGAGCATTTCATATCCCATTAATTTTCATACTTGAAAAAAACCACACGACTTGCTGTTTTCAGGGTATCACAAAAGGCATCTTCGATTTGATTGAAAAAATCAGAGACCATCGAATTATTGATTCATTATGATATATCTATTTACTCCGTCCGACTACTTTAGGTAGCTGATTTTGCGTGGAGAAACCAAGTCCTATTTTCTTTTTCACTCTGATGATGGTCAGTCAAAACAGCCATGATTATTCGAAATAGTCAAACATGTTTTGCTTGAATAAGCTAGTTGAGATAACAATACTAAATAACCTCCCCAAACAGAGATAAGCTCGCTTTCGCGTAGAATCAGAAGAGAGAATCATGTCCCAAAGGGTTATGCAGATGTACAAAAAGCAGAATCAACTGCAGATCGTCTTCTAATCCAAACTGAATGAAAACCTGAAAAATTTCTTTCTTTGCGCAGAGTAGTTTGTACTCAAAAATTTACCGAGATATGAAGAATTATCTCGGGTTAAAATCCATAAAATATTCTTTGCTATAAAAAAAAGTTATTGCATTATAGGAGGGATAGAACAAAAACGTTGTATAAAAAGTATCAGCATGCTTGGTTCAATTTGCAACCTTCTTGGAAAACGTTGCCAAATTTAGAGGCGATACAGTTTTACAGTGAACAAACCCAAAAATCTGGAGCAAAATGGTCAACTCAGAAAAATTGGAGATTAGAAACACTTTCATGTATTAGAGTGTAACAGTCCGAATGAGAACTTAGGGCAAAAAGAGACGAGGATTTAATAAAAGAACAAGAAATTTGGCCATCGAAAATAATTGAATGAGCAAATGGAAACACAAATCAAATGCTGATTATTGAGAACAAAAAAGAAGCCTCAATAATTTGGATTGAAGTTTATTTATATATATTATTATTTTCCTGTTTGGTCGAATATTCAGTTTTATACATTTTTGAATCATGCAATCATGCAGTCTTTTTTTTTCAATGCAATCTTATCCAAAAGCCAGCCAAAACCTGGCTGCAATCGAAGGCTAACAAAGTTTTATTACTTGAGTTAATGTGGCGTTGCGGCGCATCGGCCATTGTTTTGTTTTTTAGCCCCCAGGGGGCGCGTCAGGCATGCTCAAACCGAGTCCTAGAAACTTTGCGACTTCGGTCGTCCGAAGCCACAAGTCAATTGGGGTAAGAGTAGTGGTGTTCTTGGAACAGTTAAAGAAGTTGAGGGGAGAAGTACAGTGAGGGCAGTCTGGGGTGACATTTGGTCTATTCTGCTTAGGCAAGTGTTTAGGAAGGGACTACAGCCGGATCTTAATTGGGCACGGGTTCGCCTGGTACCACGAGGGAGCGACTCTTCAGAAGATGAGATATCGGGGGGTGGGTGGGGATTTAGCGGTAGTACTTTTGGGTGAGGAGAATCTGCAATAGCTTGCTCTACACTTTTAGCGTGCAGTTGTTTTAAAATCGATTGTATTGGCAGGCGGATATTCCGGGGATGTTTAGAGTGTTGGAGATAAAAAAAAGAAAAGGGTTTAAAAGAATATATGTTTTCAGTTTGAACTGAGCAGATAAAAGTTGATGATGTTTAGCAGCATTTAAAATGGAGCACTCATTTTTGTACAACCCGTTATTGTGCGGAGAGTAGAAATTTGAGATACTTGAAATTTGCTCAAAGATGTAGAGCTGGCGGCACGTGACCATGCCGCAAGTTCTACATGCATAATCTAAAATTGGTCTCAAAGCCTTGTAGATTACCAGTAGTGTCTTTTTTGATTGACCCCAATTGGACGTCGATAAGGCCTTCACGATCTGCGAAGTTAAGGGATGGATCAAAGAATACACCAAGTACTTTGAGGTGATTTTCTAAAGGAAGAGGGGATTGTCCATTTTCACAAGGGGACCAGTATTAAACTCCTTTTTGAAGGAGACAAAAAGGCTTGCGGAGCCTTTTGATGAGGAAAAAACAAGATATCTGGACGTAAGAAATTGGTGTATTTTTGTTAAGTAGTTTGATGAAAACAGAGGAATGAAAGTTGTATGACTGAACGACGGGGTGAAAGTAGTCTGCGTTCTATTTTAATTTAATTTTTTTTTGGGGGGGGGGGGGGGTGATAATGGTGCATATAAACGTGAAATTTAAACGGTGGGTGAAAGGACTGAGCCGTGTGGGACACCTGTGCGAACAATCCTGGATACTGACAGAGCCTGCCTAAAAATTTTTTCCCTTGGCGACCATTCAAATAATTTGATAACCATATAGTTAAGCTTCCCGTTACACTGGTGTCATGAAGTAGATCCCAGAGAGCTTGATGACAGACCATGTCGAAAAGCTTTAGATAAGTCGAGCGTGGCCAAAACTGTTCTAGTGGGTGGCCTTAGTTGTCTGAAACCGTCACTGTTAAAAAAAATTCAGTGACTGATAATGCCGTAGTGGTGGTCAGCTTTGGACAGGTGTTTAGTGAGGGTTGGGTGAATTAAAGAATCTAAAATTTTGACAGCTGGGCTTAAAATCGATACCGGGCGGTAAGATTCTTTCAATTTGAGGTCTTTATTTGGTTTAGGGAGGAGAAACAACTGAATTTTTCCATAATTGAGGTATGATATAAAGAGATAGAGAGCGGCTAAAAATGTCCGTTAAAAAATCAATAACTACCGAGCCCTTAAGTTTCAGATGAACCGTACATAGACCGTCTGGTACTAGGGCTTTTGACGGTTTCATCAGTTTACTGCACTTTTCCACTTTGAGTGGTATAAAAGGCAAACAGTCAGCTAAGCTGAGTTTCAGAGCTTTCAGCTTGGTTACTCTTTGAGCTTTGTGAGTTCTCAAATTATTGTATTGTGCATTAAAAGCATTTGCAATGTCTTCCGCCTTCACAATCTTTTTGTCACTAAAACTGATTGGGTGGGTTCCTACCAGACTTAGAGCCATTTAACAATCGGACGACTTTGCAGAACTTGCTAGATGAATATGATGAATTCAATTCTGGAGGAATTCCCGCCATTTTTTTCCTTTTCTTTGGCCGTTTTAGACATGATTTCTCTGTTTAAGTCGTTTAAAAGTGGATCTGATGGATTTGTTAATCTGATGTTATCCCTTTGTTGTGCAAGTTTCTTTGATTCGTCATTTAGTGCAGGTACAAAATAAACAATTACGGCCTGCAGGATATGGTGACGTGATACAGAGAGAACAGTATCACGAAAAAGAAGATTTCCTTGCCATACAAACACTTTTACCATGAAACAAATAGTTAGCATTGAAAGCTATCGGAAGCAACTACAAAAGCTTTAAAAAATAACGTCTACAAAACTTTATAAAATTTGTCTTGAATGATGTTCATTCTGAGAGAAACAAAAACAGCATTCTCAGCCATTAACCGAGCGTTATATTCGCTGACAATATTTGGGTTGACGTCCGCTCAACTTAAAAAGTTTTGAAACTCACAATTTATATGCAATACCCCTCCTGAAAGCTGACTGTGCCCTACCAACGGAAAATTAGTCGATAAAACATAAGACAAAACCGTTTGAGCGAGAAAGAGAAAAACATACAAAATTTATTTTGTTTAATTTTAAAATTACAAGGGCATTTATTCGAAAACAAAATTGTTGTCAAAAAAATTAAGCTATGAAATATAAATTTATAAGCGTCACCCTTCTTGAAACGCACAAAAGCATTAAATCTGTTTTGTCTTTCAACCGATGCAACAAGGCGATTAAGCCGATGTGACATAAGACGAAACCATTAGAGAAG